ATATTCTTAAGGGCCAGAGTAAGCCTAACTTCCACCTCCTCGAAGTTGGCTCCCTGAGCAGTAAGTGCCAAGTCGTCAGCATAGATGAAAGACAGTGTATCGGGAACAACAGGCTGATCATTGGTAGATATATTAAATAACCGGGGGGGGGGGGCAAGAACGCTCCCCTTCGGAAGACCATGTCTCTGGGCTCTCCACCGGCTCTTTTTTCCCTGAAAGTCGACAAAAAATGGTCAATTTTCAAGTATTGCCTCAATGCATTTAATCAGAGCAAGATCATGTGTGATATTATATAAGTTCAAGAGAAGCTTCCTGTGATTAACTGTGTCGTAGGCTGCAGATAAATCCACGAAAGCAACTCCCGTAATTAGACCCAATTGAAATCCATCCTCTATGTGCTGAACGAGTTTAAGTATCTGGCCTGTACAGGGCTTCCCTGGCCGGAAACCAGCTTGCTGGGGAATGAGAGTTGGTTCAATAACAGGAAACATTCTATTTAATAGAACTCTCTCATAGAGTTGAAAAGGATGGCAAAGGAGGGAAATTGGACGAAAATTCTTTGGGTCATCTGGTTCTTTTCTGGGTTTCAAAAGTGCAATACCCCGGGCTTTCCTCCAAATCTTTGGAATGCAATTGGAAGCCATGCATGCATTAAAAAGTTATAACAACCATCGCTTGGCAAAATCTCCAAAAATTTTTATTTGTTCAACACGAATGCCATCCAGTTCCGTGGCTTTACCATTCTTCATATCATGAATTGCTATTTCCAGTCCTTCTCTATCAAAGGGTGAAGTTAGTACACTGGCCTCCCCTTCCATTGCCCTTGGGAGCCTCCATTTCCTAAGTCTCTCCTTAACCCTGCCGTTTAGCAACAGCTGATGAGCTATTTGATTTTCTGTAACGTTCTTACATTGACACAGGTTTGTTGGATCGTTATTCAGACGTTTTAAAAGTTTCCAACCCTTCTGGCTGTTCTTTGTCAAATCAGTTGATTCCAGGGTGGCCTTCCATTTCTCCCTCTCGGATTCTGCAAGGAGTGACATTATAATATCACCACTTTCAATCGTTTCTTCAGAGAATGGGTTTTCGTCAAACATTCTGACATAGTTATTAAGGTGAGGCATAATGTCTGGAGAGAGCCCTGATACAAAGTGAGTTTGGCACTCTCTCAGAATAGATTTTCTAGATGCATAACTTACAGCTTTGACGAAAAGGTCGTAATTTTCTGGTATTGGTTTAATAGTTCGCAATTCAGAATCAAGTACATCAGAAAAGTCCCTCCAGTTCACTTTTTTAAAATTAAAGCAACGTCGAAATGGAACATTTCTTGGCCTAATAACAGAGTGCACCTCGCATGTTAATGGTCTGTGCTGTGAATGAGAGATTGGGTCCCAAACCGTCTTGATACGTTGACTGCTGAGATTGTTACTCATGAAGATCAAGTCTGGGTTATATCCTGTTTTCCACCTACCACTATTAAAGGAGGCTGGAAATTTGGCATTGTGGATTAAAGTAAAGGCATTAGTCTCCAACCACAACTCCACCTCTTCCCCGTCTCTATTCGTTTTGCTATATCCCCAATTAATACTGTGACTATTAAAATCACCAAGAATAAAATTAATCTTTTGTGAGCGAAAATTCCCAGGTTCAATAAAACTAAATGGTATATTAGGGGGCTTATACACCAAAGTAACCACACAATTATTTAATTCAACTGACAGTATTTCAGTGTCATTTTCTTCTGTGAGAGCTGTTGAAGATATTATCAAATCAGGATGGACAAAAATAGCACTGCCATACTGTCCACTTAGTCTCTCAATAGCAGGTTTCATTCCTACTATACAGAGACATCGTTGATAAATTCCTCGATGAGTTTCCTGCACACAGAGTACATCACACTTACTGGTCTTGCAAAAATTGCTTAATAGAACTTCCTTGTCTGCCGATATACCTTCAATGTTCATAGTAGCCATTATTAAAATTGGCCCTGAAAAGGGCCCTTTGTTTTCAAGAGACATTTCCTGCATTCTGGGTTGGAAGGATTAGCCAGCAAAAAATTAAATTCGCTGTTACCAGGGGCACCACTTGGAGGTTCCTTCCTTGCTGACCTATGACCATAATAAACATTAACTAAATGAACTCTATATGTGCCTTGTTGGATTCTGTGGCAAGCGCAGGAGGAAATGTTTCTCAATGTAATCGCGCAGATATGCTTTTTAAAGGTTCCATTGGCAAACTGAGCAAATGGAACTCTTTCCACATCCAGTTATCTTCATTTCCTCCTATGTAGTCAGTTATTGTCCTACACCTAGAGATGACAAATTCTGTGTCTATTTGTTACCCCGCTGTTTGGCCACCAGGATGCAGGCTTAGTCTGCATATCCAGGATAGCTATTGCAGTGTCACCGAAGTCCATGAAGCCCTTTGAACAATTGCTTGCCTGGGATGTGACTAGGGAAGAATGATTGCAATTATCTAAGAGCCCCATTAAGCAACAGTGAACCCATTGAAGTCACTGGAACTCAATCTGCTTAGATGACACATTTTGCTTTGATTGGACTCTTAGGCTGTTCAGGGCAGGCTTTAAATCATCTTTTAGTGAGATCAGGTTTGTGTACCATGTGACGTATCTGGTCAAATGTAGCCAGTCAGCTTTGCAGGGTGGCACCAAGAATGTAAGAAACTTTCTGTTCTTTATTGGAGAAACAACAGGGTATTGAGCAGCAAGCAGGATACAAGGCATGGTGGGTGACCTGTGTCTGGCTGGGTGATTAACAAATCATCATCATCATCATTATCATCATCATCATCATCATCATCATCATCATCATCATCATCATCTCTTTCTGGCACTTCCATCCTATTTTCTGAATAAAAATATGTTCAAAGCAATGAAATAGTGACCAGCAGCCCGAAGAGTAATATATAAAGTATTCTGCATCAATGCTCTAGAAGAGTTCTGAAAAACAGCTGTAGAAGTAAATCCTTAAATTCCTTCTGCAGACCTACTCTGCTCCCTGAATATCCTGTTCTTTCACAGCATGTTCATGTTTAAATAGAAAGGAAAGGTCTCTATAGCAACCCTTTTTAATCTGAGATTAAAAAGCACCTTTGAACAGAAAATACACACCCAGGAAACTAAGCACCTGACTCTCCCTCTTCCCTCTCCCTAGGCTTTCTTTTCTCAAAAGTAATGCTTTGTTAAAAAAAAGAAGAAGAAGAGGAAGGAGAAAGGTAGATGAATCTATCTGGAAAACACTGAAAAATAGGAAATAAAACATTTTGTGTGATTTGATGTCATCTTTAGGCATGACAAGGGTTAGATTTAATGCACAGGTAAGACTAAAAAATATGTTTATGTCCTCATGAGGGATGAAGACATAAGTGGAGTATTCTTTTTATGACATGGGATAGTCCTTTGAAGAACAAGAACCTTGTAAGAAAAATGAAGATTGCAAGTATGAACCCACTAATGCATTTCTTTTTGTACAGATAATAAATGGTATTCAAGCATTTATGTCTCCATATCTTTTTGTCAATCTTAATACTTACATATCTTTCACATTTTTCAATAATGAAGGGCTTTCTTCTTAGATCTGAACTTCTCCTCCTTACTCAATCCTCTGATCTTAATATGTGCCCAGTGGGGGATTTCCCCCTGCCATTCTATTTGGCCTCCCGTCTTTCACAAATGATCATCCAACCGTATTTCTCTGAAGTTCCTGATTCTTATCCATTCTTCTCTGCTTTCCAGGTCGTGGTATGTTCTCCTGTCCATCATCTATTATTCTTTTTGAATTCCTAGACCTTGTTTCCTTTTCTCTATTTTCTCCACTACCAAAAAGACTTCCATTTTCTTCCAAATCAACATGTTGTTGTTCTTTTCCATTTCTGGTTGGCAATTAGTCAACACCCTAGAACCACTGAACTGCAATTATTATTTATTTACTATCTGTTAGTAAGTAACAGGGTTTTTTTTAATTCAAATTTTGTATTTTTCCTGTTAAAGGAACATGAAGGAGCAAGTGCCCTTCCAGCTCATACTAGTACCTATGAGCCAATTTCAAGATGTGGTGACTTAGATGTCATCTTTGATTACAAACCATCGAGCCAGAAGCTGGTGGTGACTATTCTTGAAGCTAAGGATATCCCAGACAAGGACCGCAGTGGAGCAAGTACCTGGCAGGTGCACACAGTCCTGATGCCCAGCAAGAAACAACGAGGAAAGACAAGTGTCCAGAAAGGCCCCAATCCAGTGTTCAAGGACAAAGTGACCTTCACTAAGTTGGCACCTGAAGAGCTGAGCAACTATGCCCTTCGGTTCCGCCTCTATTCTGTGCGCAAAATGATGAAGGAGAGGATGATGGGGGAGCAGTTGTTTTATCTCAGCCACCTCAGTCAAGAGGGGGAAATGAAGACTACGCTGGTTCTGGAACCAAGGAGCAACTTATGTGTAAGTACAATTAAATTGGGGGCAGACTGCTAAAGTTCTTGTTACATTTCTTTTCTCTGGGATGAAGGAGGAGAGTTTACAGCCAAGAAAAGGAAAACTGCATAGTCAAGACTGATCTGTAAAATAGTTTTCAAGAATTTGAATCAGAAATGTTATAAATAGTGCAAGAGTAAGGAACCTAGTGCCCTCCAGATGTTTTAGACTTCCCTACAAAACATTTGAAATCCAAAACATCTAGAGGCATCAGATTGCCTAACCTGCAATAGTAAAATGAATGCTTAGGCTTACATGCTGGCTGGTATGGAGCCATGGGGCTGTGCCAAAGGCTTCATAGAAAAAGTGGGTATTGAGGAAAATCTTGAACAAAGAAAGAGTGAAGCCATGATTCAGATATTTAGAGGCAGATATGCATGAAGGTGGAAAGAGGGAAAGCTGGACTTTCTAAATGGAAATATATTGCATTAAGGGAACAAAGATTATACTATAGATGTATTTGGATATGTAGGGATAAAGAGGGAAGGTGGGGCAAGACCAAGAAATATTTTGGAATAAGGACAAAGAATGTATACTGGAGCTGGGTGTGGTAAGGAAGCCAACTGAAGGTTTTCAGGATAGGCAAAACATAGTAAGAGGATGAAAAAAGTGAATGATTTTGGCATGAGGTCCAAAGTGAGATGAAGAACAGAGAGGGAAGATTCTATGGTCAGGGTGTCATGTGTGAGAGATTTTGCTGAGATGGCAAAGAGGAAGGGCTATATTTTTGTAATGTGAAGAGCAATGTAACAGGGTACATCTTCTTTGGGTGCAGATGATACACTGAATCAAGGAAAAAGGAATCAAAGATAAAATTCACGTCCATAAGCCAGTTCAAATAGGTGGATGAAAATCTTATTACTCAATAAGGAAACTTGAGAAGATGGCTTATGAGGAGAGATGAGAAGTTGATCTTTGGCAGATGAGATTGAGAGGAGGAGGATGAAGCATTTTAACTGAAATAATAACAGTATCAGAGAGAGAAGTGACTTGAATTTAGAACTTCACTTTTATACAACTGCCCAGACTTTAAGATCAGTGAAAGAGCTCTTATTAGGTGTCAAATGAGGCCAAGTAAGATAGATAACCTTTTCTGCAATAGTTACTTTGATAAGATTGCTGAGAAATATTTAAATTAAAAAGCAAAAGGAAATCAGTGCTTATTTAAGTATAGTAATTGTAAATGGTTGACATCAGAAACATAAACAGAGAAAAGCAGAGGCCTTGAATCGGTAAGTGCAAAATTGAATTCTAGCAGTGTTCATCTCTTTCCAGAAGTAAATATTCCTCTAGAAGAGGAAGTAGTTTAGAACACAACTAGCCCAGAGCATCTTTGCTTTTCCACTAAATATTCATTTTATCCAAACAGAGGACCTTTTCCCCCAAATAAATGAAGGATCATCTTAGATTAACTAGGAATACTTAATCTAAGGAATGTATGTATGTATGTATTCATTCATTTATTCATTCATGCATTCATATATTTAAAACATTTATATAGCTGCCCATCTTGTACCAAATTCTGGGCAGCTCACAGCCAAAAAATAAAACAACATCTATTTACAGTAAAAATATTAAAACCAAAATATATGTTATCTAATCTTTTTTTTTTGCGGGTCATCTTAAATTCAGGTTTATCTTCCCCTTTACTTGAGTCAAAGATGCCTCTTGAACATTTAGACTTTCAAATAAGCTGGTTTCCAGGTACAAGCAAATATCTTTTCCCCCTTGGACCTTTACCTACCCACTGCATCAAGAAGGGAATCATCTTCAACATCCCGTGGTGCATGTGACTAAGTGGTGGAATAATTAAATAATTCTGTATGCTAGTAGAACATTTCCCTGTATGGACACTGCAAGACTCAATTTTAATGAGATTGCTTCAGTGGATCTTAATTTCCCAAAGGTACATGGTGAGTGAGATAATATTTTAAGGAAGCCAGTGAGGACTTAAAAGCCATTCAAAAAAATAAAGTTTCATTAAGAATTTGAATCGTATTCCACCAAGGAAAATAAATGCACTGCATAATCCATTTAGGTGATGACAGTTAAAAAAAAATGCTCTGAAGACTACTTGCAAAAATCAAGATCAGTTATGAAATAGTATGACCCTCCCCTCCCCGCCCCGGTACAATTCAGTGCGTTATCAATTCTTCTCTTCAGTAAATGGAACCTACAACAAAATATTGCAATGTGAATATTCTTATTTGCTGTTCTAGTCAATCAGCCAGCACTTCTCCAAAATATTCCATTCTCTTCCCCCTTCCACACACTTTACAAGTTCCATACCGGCACCCTAGCTTAGGGAACTCCACTCTTTGGAGGCATATTATGAATGTTGAGAACATGTTGGGGGCAAATTCACAAGGTGGCTCTGGGGAACTGCATGGTTCCTAAGGCAAACAGAACCGGCTACAAAACACTGATCCACCATAATGTTATCTGCTTGGCCTTTCTAGTTCAAAAGGTCAAAGAGCAGATAAGAAGATGTAGGAAACTGATTTGTACTGGACTGCTTCACACCTCACGCTAAGCCATCATGTAGTTTGCTTTTTGTGGTCTGGCATGTTGTGTGAATCCAGCTATTGCAATTTACAAAACAAGCATTATGGTGTAATAAGGTAATGTGTGCACCTCACCAGCTAAATGAACAACCCGGTAGAAGGCATCTGAGAATGGAGGTGTTTACCTGTGAAAGCTCATGCTGCCATTTTTCCCTGTTTCTTAAGTTCATGCAAGACACGCTTGTCACAGCTGCAATAGAATAACCTGGCTAGTCTTCTGTATTTTCAATTTTACCGCTGTGTGTGTGTGTGTGTGTGTGTATAAAATTCAAAATATAGACTATATATATGTATGTATGCATGTATGTATATTCTGTATTTTGAATTTTAAATGGAATGCTGTATATAATACTGAAGAACCTTCCTTCTAATTAACAGTCTTTTTTTGACGTTGGCTTTTCTCTCTCTCTCCCCATCCACAGAGTGGAGGCTCCCAAATGAGTCTCTCAGCCATCTCTCACAGTGACAGTGCTTCTTCAACTCAGTCTCTGTCACATGGAGGGGTCCCAGAACTGCTGGTGGGACTGTCCTACAATGCTACAACAGGCAGGCTGTCAGTCGAGATGATCAAAGGCAGCCATTTCCGGAACCTTGCCATTAACAGACCACCAGGTACATAAAAATCTGACCTGGTCTTGTGGATGTAGAGCTTGGACTATCAAAGCCTTGGTTGTTTGATATGAAAAAAACACCTGCCTACAAACACTGGGAGGCATTTTGAAAGACCCTAACCTAACCTTGGGGGGGATGTCCCATTTGTGAATCTAAATAGATTGCTTGGGGGGAGGGTTCTGAAAAACCTGAAATGTTTAATTGGAAATAATAGAAATTGTCTGCTTGTCGGAAGCAAATACTTTTTTTTCCTGCCCTCTGGCTTGAAATACTTAGGATTGTGTTTGCTCTGCTCCCCAAGGCCAGTTCAGGTCCAGAAAGGAAGGAGGACACATCTACTGTTGTAAGCATGAAGTCCTTTGGTTTTCCAGGACCTAGTTATCTATATTCTTCCAAAACCACAAATCCCCTTCTCTACTGTCTTTTGGGTTCCTCTGTTGATATTTCACTACAGAATCTTTGAGGAATGTGGGTTCCAGCTCTAGACAGTTAGGTCTTTCAAAACTGTTTATGCTTCAGTAGGGTTGGGCTGGGTTTCTAGGGTATTTATGATATTTCTGAGTGATGAGTTGTTTAGGCAGCTAAAGAGCTAGACCAGAATTTGTTGTTACATTAGACCTGGTGGGAATTTTCTGACTCCTCAACTTACCTTTTCCTACTGGGCTGAAGGCTCTAGGACAGTGTTTCTCAACCTCAGCTGGCTGGGGAATTCTGGGAGTTGAAGTCCACACATCTTGAAGTTGCTGAGGTTGAGAAAGACTGCCCTAGGACATCAGAAATCAGGCTATAGATTAGGTTGGCATCTGACTTCTGTCTTCTTTGGAGAAGCTCAGCTGGAGGTCGGAGAAGTTGAGGTGGTTTGTTTGTTGGCTCACTAGTTTTTCAAGCATTTTGAAAGAGATAATCTTCTTTGCTCAACTTGTACAGGCATCTTTAACCACAATTTACTGCACTGGATCCACACACATTTTACTTCTGTCTCCCAGTTGTCTCTTCTCAATTGTCTTTTGAAATTGTTTAGACTGAGAGAAAGAGAAGACCAAGGACTTTATCCTACTAATCTATATGAGGATTTTATGCATTTGTTTCTCTTTTTCTTCCCATTTTTTCTTGAACTAGTCTCCAATCAATCCCACCTTTCCTCTTTCACTTTTCCTAAGGAATACACATAAATGTAGGAGCAGATTTATATTCCTTAGTATAACTTCAGTTTCCCCACAACCTAGCATTTGTCTCAGCTTGTATTTTTTTAAATTTTATTTCCCCTCAAAAGAATGCAGAATAGTATACAATATAGGATTAGAATGAGACGATTTCTTGCATTGTTAAATTCTTATTAATGTTTAAGGAAATGTACTATAAAAAGTCTTTCTTTTAAAAATGTTGGCTTAATTGTGAAAAAACAAACAAACAACAGATGACAAAGAGGTGCATGCCTAACAGTGCAACGAGACACTGATTAAGGGAAAAAATAAATTTCTGCCAAAAGAGGGGGATAAAACCAAGCCCCAGGCTTCACAACTCTTCAGGAAGAAAAGAACAGATTTCATATCATCATGAGCCTTGCTTGCTCATGATGATATCCCCAGCTTATTACCTCCACTACACAAATATAATAACAATAATATACAAAAGAGCACATTTGTGCAGTGAAAAACACAAATCTGGAGTGCTGATTTGGGCTAAGGATGGGGCTACCTCTGAAAGAAACAGAATATAATTGAGATGTAACCCTTGACTGCAGAAGGTATTATCAGACATGTTTCACCTGGCAAAGGCATCCCAAGGTTGGACGTGTAGGAGATTCAATGAGCCAAACTTCCATTGCAGCCAGTTTACTACAGTAAAGCAACTGTCTTCTGGAATGTGAACAACAGAAAGATAAACAAGCTAGTTTGAACCATATCAGATTGACTTGCAGTCTTCCAAGTTGAGCTCACTTTTAATTTTCTTTATAATGGCAGTAGTCCACATTTTTGGAAGTCAGAATAAAATCTGCCTGCCACAAGTAGATTTTTGGATTAGATGATGGCCTTTTCTTGACTATTTTGTAGCATTGCCATGGAATAAAGTCTAACTCAGTCCAGTTTTGTGTTTAACTACTTGTCTGGTTGCCATAGGCTAAAAGAAGTTCAAAATTGGCAAGTGTACTGTGCTGGTTGAGAAGGATCTTCCCTTAGTTGGCTTGGAGGAAGGCAGTTTCTTCTTACAAGCTTGCTAGAAGACCAGTGGCCTAAATTTGCTTGGTTGTCAGAGGGAAGGCATCCCGAATGGAAATTACAGGATAAATATTGTTGCAGGACTTAAACCTGCAACAGGGAATCAACCTGTCACCGTTCCTATATCCTGTCAAGGGTGAATCCTAAGCTTTAGGGTCTGCTGTAAGTTATGAGTCCTGATATAATTACTATCTTACATTCTGGTACTTTGAGGAGATTTGCAGCTGGAATCTTGTTGCCTACCACTCGATGAGTTCTGTGTCTGCCCAGTTTGATTAACACAGAGAGTATATATTTCTGAATGGAGTAAAGTTGTGGTGGACAGACTGTTGTTTTTTGTTTTCTGATAAGATTTCCTGGTGCACTAGGTGGAGCATAGAAAATAAGGACTAATGCCCTGCCCCAAGTACTGAGATAGTGACATGGATTTAACAACACTTATTGGTTCAGCCCTGCAAAGCAAATTCAGTTTCCTCAGTACATCATATATGGCTGCTTTATTTCCTCTGTTTAGCTCTTGTTCTGTTCTGTTTGCTTTTTGCTGGGCCATGTGATGCTCTGAGGAGCTGACTGAGTCAGCAGTGTGAGGACCCAAATTCTTGCGTTCACTAAGCAAGCAGTGGTAATTTCCATTCGGGATGCCTTTCCTGTGACAAGTTATGCTGAGCCCCAGCTGAAGATTTCTGCTTCACTCCCAATGAGGAGGATCAACCCCCATCATGGTGTATTGCAAGCATATTTCTTCAAATTGGAATTTCCAGCCAGGGAACATCTGTTGCTTAATTCTTTGTATGGATAAAATAGTCCTGCACAGAATAGATTCCATAGAGTTGATCAATGCATTATTTTTGGTTAAACTTCCTACTGGAAAGTAGAAGATGCCAGGCTTTTTTAGATCAGGCTTACCTTCTTTGGCTCACTGGGACTCCCTTTTGTGCTACGATGCTTCTGGAAGGTTCTCCTTGAGAAAGCTCACCTGGTGCTGCTGCTATTATCATTTAGAGGCCAGTAAAACATCTGTATTTGTTCTATTTATGTACTTCATTTGCATCCCAACTTTTCTCCTGGAGCTCAGTGATAGCACTCACTCTGCCAGTTTTTCCCAGAATAACAACCCTGTAAAAAGGAGAGCTGTGCTAAGAGATGAGAGTAAGGGACTGTTCCAAAGACATCCAGTGAGCTTCCATGGCTGATGGTAGACTTGAACTTGGGTTTCTCCAGTCCTTAACCAGTATACTATCTTGGCTTTTACTCAGCATAAAGTGCCTTTGCTGTAATTTATAGCTATATTTCTGTAGGTACTTATATTTTTGGATTTCTTTATTTCCAGTAATTTTATGCTGCCCTTCAGGAAAAGCCCCCAGAAAACGGTTCATACAGTATGTGCTGTGCGTGATTAAAAATATAAACAGCTAACATTTTATCTCTTGTGTATGATGAATGTATGCGTTTACCTCGGGTGTTAATTCCCTGTATACTGCATTGGAACTGAAAGGTGAAAGGTACCATACGTATTTTTAAAATCCGAGCAGAAGATTGCTCAAGTCATCACAGGGCTTCATTTGGAGAGGGCGAGATGGCTACTCCCCCTTCCATGTGTTTTGTGGTTTGAAAGGTTAAGCAATTGAGGAGCACAAATTCTTTTGGAAGTTTTCCTAACCAACCAAAAGCACAACACAGCCTCTAAAAAATAGTGCCATTGTTGGGTGATTGGTCACTGAAGTTTGATGGTGCTATGAGGGGCTGCCCAAAGGGCTAGTATAAGGGGATTTACTACATAAACATAAATTGTAACTCTGAACATAGATGAAATTCTTTTTTTTTTCCTAGATGGCTCCATTTCTTTCTCACACGTGTATACACAGAACTATGCAGGCATATACACCTTAAAGTACAGATGAAAAGTCATGATTCTTGTTCTGTCTGCCTACCTACCTACCTAAAAGCACGCAATAAGTAATGAGAGAGGATGGAACTGTTTGAGGAGAAGCAGGATGTCCCTGCTTTTAAACTGTGCCTGTCTGTTCATACCTGAGATGAAATTTCATGCCTTCTGTTCAGCAGAGCAAAAACCAAAAAAAAAAAAAATCATCCATAAAGAAAAAGAGCCATATGGTGCAATGAAAAGTCTACCGGCTGCATGTTATAGAGGACATCCTAGGATAAGCTTGTAGGAACATTGTTGCATATTCCTAAACATTAATGGTTGATTTATTTGCCTTTTGTATTATGCCATGATTTCAATCAGCAAACGCAATATGCTTTAAGCAAACTGGTGGCTTATCTGTGTGACAGATTAGAAAGAGAAACAAGCAGGCGTACTTTCTTTCCAATAATATTGTTATAATTTTGATGTTGCCTGCAGATACTTATGGGAAACTCTGCCTTCTGAACTCAGTTGGTCAAGAAATGTCTCGTTGCAAGACATCTGTCCGACGAGGACAGCCAAATCCAATCTACAAAGAGACGTTCATCTTCCAGGTTGCCTTGTTCCAGCTCTCTGATGTCACACTGATGATCTCCATTTACAATCGCCGCAGCATAAAGCGCAAGGAGATGATTGGCTGGCTTTCTATGGGTCAGAACAGTAGTGGAGAAGAAGAGTTAAGTCATTGGCAGGAGATGAAAGAATCTAAAACACAGCAAGTGTGTAGGTGGCATATGCTCCTGGAGTCCTAATGGAAACCTCAGTAGTTCCAATAGCATATGTGCAGGGCATTTATCTTCCCAGCATTTGACATATAAAGACCATTGGTTTCTATTACAACTGGACCTCTAATGCTCTTTACTAATGCAATTGTTTTGTTAAGTTATTGTCCTTTGATTTTTAGTTACGGGAAATTGCTTGAAGTAACAGGTAGGCAAATTGGGTTAGAACTTTATGCTTTCTCTTTGCCAATCAAGAATTGAGATTGAGTGTTCAATATCATCCTGGTGTCTTCACTGATGATGAGACTTCGTTTGCTCTTGGCCCAGGTCACTGTAGAGCCAAATTTGGTTGGGTAAGCCAAGGTATGTGCCATTGTTGTGAGAAAAGGCTGCAAATAGTGATCATGAAATAGTGTTCATGAAATTGGTAGATTTGGACAGTTTTCTGGGATGCTTTGGGGCCCTATCCCACTTTTTCACACCAGAAATATTCACTTAAGAATATTTGGCTCAGCCCTAATTCTCTGACTGCAATAAATAAGGTAAATTTGATTCTTGACAAATGGTCACTTAAAATTTTCTGTTTACAAATATAGACTTCCAAAAGGCTTAATGTGAATCTTGTAAACATGTATCCAGAATATAGCAGACGTGTATAATATCATTATGTAACTTAATCATTAGATGGCTCAGAGTGTTGAGTGTCCTGCATTTATTTGGCTCTTTCTGGAGGAAGATAGCTGTATCTAACCTGGCTGCTGGCTGGTGTGTCTTCTAAGCTTTCCATGACAGCAAGGAAACAACATGTGGATCTGGGCTCCATCTATGCCTTTTAATATATAATGTTCTTTTCACTTAGAAACAGCCAAACACTTGTGTTTTACATTAGTTCCTCCATAGGCATGTATGCATAATTATAGTTATCATCATGGGAGCCATGGATCTCCTTAGCAGTCCTAGTTGTATAAGCACTCTAAAAGAAATTAAGAGATGGATGCCTGCAGTACTGATAACAGTTTTCCCTAATCTGGTGCCATCTAAATGTGTGGAACTTTAATTCTGATGATCTTAACCTGGAAGACATCTGGTTGGGAAAGGCTGATTTTAGGAAAATATGGAGCTTTCAGAAGGTCTTTGGAGAGAAGATAGGCAGTGGTAAAAAAAAGATACCTTCCTTTGTTATGCTGAATCCCAGGAGAGACTCTGTGATGTGCTCAGGCAACTTCTGACCAGTGACCTCTCCTGATAATTGACTTCTCTGGAAGGCTACATAGGATCCTCTGCAGCATGTAGATGTTTCTTGGCTAACAATTATATGGAAAGTTTTGAGAAACACATTCTAAATAACTTGAAAATGAACCTCAAAGCTGTCTGAGAAATGGGCCAGAGAGTACATTTATAATATGTGTTGGTGATAGGGGATCCCTTATTTACAATATTACCACCATGGGGGGTAAAACATGTTACAGAACACCAATTTACCATAATACTGCCTGTCTATTCTTCTAGGCATCCCATCCTGCAGGACACCCTTTAGTGTCCTCCTTATCTGCATCCTTTTGAGGATCAGATTGGCACACTTTCTGCTGCATGGGTTTGCAGCTGCTTATTCTTTCTATATTCTAAGAATACTTACAGGGTCCATTGGAATCTCAGAGGCATTCTACAAAATAAAAATTATGCTGGAGGCCGGCACTTGGTTTTATAGTGTATCTTTTCATATTTTCCCCATATTTTTATTTTAATATATTTGATATTGTTCCCATATTTTAAATAAAATATTTGTTCTTAAATGTAAAAAAAGGTCAAATGGGGCAGGGAGCCTGGGAGATGCCAAAGGAAGTAAAGTGTCTGTGGGTACACTGGAGCCCCTTAGGCATCATGTTGAAAACAACCAAAATGGGCTGTTGTGTGTACGTGAAGCCGCCTTCTCCAGTCTCAAAACTCTCTTCTAAAGTGCTAGAGATTGAGCGCAGGACCTTCTCCTTGAAAAGTATATACAATGCAACTAAGTGATGACCTTTCTAAAGGAATGTCCCTGTTAAGTTTTTGCTCCAACATTTTATAAAGAGATATATCATTAGCTGGTTTCTCTAACAACAAGAACAAAAATTAAAACAGGTTGGTTGAAAAACTGCATCACCATGTATGAGAACGGAGGAATCCCTTTTGAAAGACAATTTATACTGTGGATTATACTTTTATTATCTAAACATTAAGAATGCTTCTTTGCTTCAGAATTATTCTTTTCCTTACATGGAAACATATGCAGATTTTATTGGCTGAAATTCATATAATCAATTACCTAAGATTTCTAACATCTCTAATATCTAGTCATCCATGGATGTATTTCTACTTCTCATTGCTTTGAAGTAGTTTTCAATACTCTTTTTTTCCTGAGGGTCCAAAGATTTGCTTGGTTTTTTTTCTTTTTTTAACTTCTGGGAGAAGAGAGATCAAGTTTTCTTGATTATGCAGATGAGATCATTAGTCTAGCACTACACGCTGCTCATCTATTTTTCTTTTTAAACATCTGTTTCTTCAGTAGAAAAAAAAAAATTTGCTACCACAGCATGCTAGGGGTCAGAGAGGACATTTCACCAACATGACTCCCTTCTCAGGTTGCATGCCAAAAAGTTATAGGCTGCATTTTTTTCCTCAGAAATTACCAAGGGCCCATAGGCTGTGAATAATCTGTGATTCACTGTATTAAATAGGAAATAATAATGTATCCCAAAACAGCAAAGAAACCCACTGTTAACAACAGCAGATACAACATGTTAAGGCAGCTTTTCTTTTCCTGCATTGTTCAAAAGGTTGCATGAGAAGGTTCCTGTTTGGCATCCATCTCACGGAAACAGCTCGTGTAACCCATTTCGGTAGACCTCCTGTTTTATTTGCTTGCCAGATTCACTAGAGAGAGTGCCAAAGCCAGGGTGGATGCAACAAATAATGAAGAGGGCTTCTGTTGGAACACATTCTGAAGCCCTGTTAATTTGTAATGCCAAAAGCACACCTTTTCATTCAGTGATGGATCTGTGTAAAAGCAGACAGGCCTGCAATAAGATCCTTCACATGCATCTCTCAATAATTTTGCCATGCACGTGGGTCTGCAATTCCTGAGGCCATACACAATGCCTATGTATCACACTAATTTTGGCTTTAGTGTGTTGTAGAAAGCCAAACAGCTAAGGTTTGTAAACAATCATTTATGGCTTTAGTGCATTATTTCTCAATCTTGGCAACTTGAAGATATGTGGACTTCAATTCTGAAGACTGGGGAATTCTGGGAGTTGAAATCCACGCATCTTCAAGTGTGAACAAACACTTGAAGTCCACACTTGGACAAACACTTGAAGTCCACACTTGTCAAATGTGGACAAACACTTGAAGTCCACACATCTTCAAGTGTGGACAAACACAGTGTTGGAATGTAGCCAGTGAAATGACTTTGGCTTCGAAGTTCCTACAAAGTAACTTGATCCAGGAACAGAAGTTACCTTAAATTCTGTGCTAGGGCAGAAACTGGCCCTTTCTTTATCAGGAAAGATAAATGTAAGCAGTGGTATCTGTTGGGGGGAAGGTTCAAAATGAGCAATGTGGTGATTGTGGTATTGCAGTGCAAGCCCCACCCTGCTTGTACTTGCATTGACATTAGACACACACCTACAAAAAGGGTGGAATTTGCATTTTGACATCTCATTTGCCATCTTGCCCAGTTTGACCCATAGAATGATGCTGCTGAATGCAGGAGAGAAGAAATAAAAGGGAGGAGAGGCAGAGATGGAAATTTTGGAAGAGATTGCCAGGCAATTGAGTTACCTAAAAGCATGGGGAAAAACCTGTACAGGTAGTCCCTGGGTTAAGAACTCCTGGTTTAAGGATGACCCATAGTTAAGAACGGAGCCTATTGTAGCAAAATCCGAGTTAAATACACAATGGTTTGAGTTCATTACACAAGACTACCTACATACTGTTCTAGCTTACTTACAAATTTGACTTAAGGACAGACTTTGGGAATGGAACTCGTTCTTAAACAGGGGAATACCAGTACTTGTTTAAACTGTATGGAACCATCTAGCTGACTTTGGTTGATCTCAGAAAACTAAGCAGGATTGATTCCAGATAGTTCTTGTAACCCCAGGAAATTCCAGGGCTGTGGGTCAAACTAGAAACTTGAAAAAACCATTTAGGAAGGAGGAGTTGGTAAACTGATTTTAGTACTATTGCCAAGAGTATTTGGATGTTTTTGTGTTACCAACAGGAATTCAACTTGAAGGAGATTCATCTTTATATGTTACCGTCGGTTTACATGGGATTTGTAATAGACAAACTGCAGATTCTTCCCACAAAGCGTCTTCAGTCTCAATTTAATCACTATAGAGATCGAAAAGAATGAACAATTAAAAAAATACTTTTTATGTTTCCATTCAGTTGATTGGAGGAGCACTCAAGACTTAAAAGTTTTGCAAAAGAGTTTTGAGCAAAAAATTTAAAGGCAGGCAGAGAGAGCACCATGGAGGTCTTAGGAGATTTCCAGAATTGCAAACTATATTAAAATAGTTCTTGGGGCTTAATGAGACTGCATACCAGCTACAGTGAACAGCAGAAAAATAGTTAATGGCCTTCTCAGAGAACTGGCATTGCCATCTTGCCATGCTACTCTTATTCTAGAGACAGGTTTGTCAGGCAAATGTATCTCAGCCCTCCTCCTCCTTTTGTGGGGTTCAAAGGAGCTGTCCTATCTGGTTCCCAGGTAAACAGCCTAAGAGTAAGACACTGTATTCTACTAGGTGTAAACTCTGTGTGAATCTCTTAGCATGACAAAAAACCCAGCCCTGACCATACCAAAAAGAGATGTTGAGCTCACCTTTGTGCCTAAATTCTACAGTTCCTTATAAACCCCTTTGCTGCTCCTTACGGCAGCAATTCTCTACATACTTAGGAATAAGTCCCAATCTTCCAGCTCCTTAAGATCTGTTCCTGAGAACACCTGCATAAGATTATGCTGTACAACTACTTCTGTCATTTGGGGGAGCCTGGGTAGAGGTATGCTTTAGGTATCATATTTATGTCTGTGCCAAAAAGGCTTTCGATTTCACACACTTTTTTCAAGATCAGATATCCAGAATACTTTGGAAACAGATCTCCCAATGTACTGTGTACTCTGTATATACACTATGAAGGGTACAACAGTATATCGAAGGCTGGAGTATATTAAATAAATATTGGTTCCCATGTAAATCTCTATATGGTGCTTTCCTCAACTCAGAGTGAGAGTAAGGGGGATGTTGAATGCCTACAAAGGATTTTACTCAAACATCCTTCGCGCTTCTATTGACTCCCATGCAGAATGGTCTAAGCAGACCATATATGGATTCAACCTCTTCTCATTCAAGTTTTTTTTAAAGACTTGCTAAATATTGAAGCATAGTGCAGCTGAGCAATGGATTGGTAAGAATAGAAGCCTGAGTTATTAAAAGGTTAAATGGATTTAAAAAGCACAGTTTATAGGCAATATCTACATTTTTAAAAAAACAAAAACAAAATGTACTTGTGTTCTGGCATACATATACAAATATCCTTGATTAAATGTTATATTACTTTTTACTGATGAAAACTAAATGTACATCTTGATGTTTTTCAGATTTTTGTTTTGTGGAAGATATATCTAAATGTGTAATATTAAACTTACAACATTTCTGTTAATTGTCTAGTGGAAGTGCTACTTTTTATGTGTTACACCATTCCCAAACCTTCATAAAATGCTGTGAAGTTCAGAAATTCACTAGAACTGCAAGACCTTCTGGCTCTCCATACATAGAGATGATGATCTGATCAGCGAGAATGTCAGACCAATGTTTGTTCAATGGGAGGAGAGCCTTGACTTCAGTCTCTGTATCAGTATGCATGTTGAACCAGACATTGTAGAAAAGAACACAAACAAGCTCCCAGGCAAGCAATACTGACCCGAAATTGGTACCTGCAGCTTAAAATTTTATTCCAGTGGATAGAAAAACCCTGTAGGATAAGAACTGGTGATGAGTGGGCAGGCCACGCCAAGCCTTAGGAGAAAGAGTTGGTTCATATATAATCCTCCTTCACCCCTATGAGAGAGACCCCTATTATTACCAAAAATGTAACAATGACACTTCAGTTAAATGGCTTGTAGGTAGGTAGGTAGGCAGGCAGGCAGGCTTATAAGCTGTTCCAAGCATCAGTTTAGGGGGAGAGATTTGTCAAAAGCTGTTAGAGCAATGGTATTCAGATGGTAATTACAAATGCTGAAGCAGTATGTTTTGAGGTGTTTAGGACAAGCAATAAGCATAAAGCAGGCCTACTTCTTCCTTCTTCTAGATGTGGAAATAAAATTCCTGACTAAATAGACCTCTGGTTTGATCTCCCAGGTGATTTATAGCTGTTTAATAAAATTCAAAGACAAGCTGCGAAAGAATTGGAGAAAGCAAATATTTATTCATATCCTCAGCGTTCCTTGCTTAAAGGGAAGGCAAATTTATCTCCTAAGAATCAATAGGAATAGGAGCTGACAATGTGATAGGGAGAGTAGATCTGTTGTTGAAACTATGCAGAATGTGAGGCAGCTCAAAGAAATGAGAAAAAGGGCCAATAGGACAGCTCCATTAACTTTTCAAAGACTGCAGTGGACCACAAACTCAACAGATAAGAGATGGGCCAAAAATGTACCCATCTCATTTTCAGCTGGGAAAGAAAATGAAGGGGGCTTTTCTCACGGGGCTTAGCTGCAGAAGGGCTGCAGACACCCCATGACCCTGTGAGGATGTGGGCAAGAGGCTTCTCCTGAATTGCTACAAATGTAGACATGGAGAGACCAACAGACTTGCCAAACCAAGAAAGATTTGAACTTCTCAGTCACAAATTAGGCATCCCTATATATGCCTGTTCTGTTGCTTTTGGTTTGTCTGAGCCTCTGGTTTGATATATTCTGCTTTTTGTATGCACAAAAAGAAGAGATACAGAACATTAAAAAATACAAATAAAAATCAAGCCATTCAGCAGTCAGATAAGTTTGTGAGAATGATATTAGTTTTCCCAGTGAATATCGTCTCCCATTCTGAAACTACGCCATTTTAATGTTTCAAATAGAATTGAAGATGAAATTTGCTTGATTCCTCAGGCAGTTTCAATCCCCTCTGTTTATGTTTCTTTTCAACTGTGTCATTACCAGTATTTTCCCTGCTCCCAATGTTTCACTTCACCCAATTGACTATTGATGAGGGCTTTTTTGGGTGAGTATGTGTGTGTGATTATTCAACAGCTGCATCCTACCACCTGCCCCTCATAGAAATCATGCATCTCTTTTGAAACTGGCAATGACTGCTACTTGTGAAATCAAGCCTTGCAATCAATCTTCCGTCCTAATGTAAAGGAAACTGCAGATTCACACAAGTTTTGTTCTTGGCCATCATGCTGTGGGGGATGTAAGTTTTTTTTTTTTTTTAACATCCTGAGTGGCAGACAACCTTCAAAGATCTTCCTCCATGCCTCCCACCCCTGTGACTTTGTTACCGCTCAGTCTGGCTGGTATTCTGTGCACATATCCATGACGGTATTGATCTGTTGTGCAGGCATAGATTTCTGGCTTTCAAAGCTGTGAAAGACTCTGAGCTCTTAGGAGGAAGAGAGAAGGGAACTGTTATTGATCCCACAGGATGGAAGGTCATAAGAAGAGATGCAGAAGTAATTGCAGGGAGGCATCAGGCACGTCTGTGTTCTGAAGATGTTGGTCCTACACTTTCCAGATCTTGGAATTTGACTTGAATGTTTGAAACCAAAAGGAGCAATCCAAAGGGAGGATTGAACCAAGGAACCAGTCCTCCTAATGTTCAGCAAGTTCCACAGCTGGGCTCTTTATTCAGATAACTGAGTGGCATCCTCTACTGCCACCAGGCCCCACTAATCTTGGCCCCAATCAAATTAGATTCCTGCCCCTGGCTTTAAAAAGTCTGTTCCTTTGAGGACTTCTTTAGGTAGCAGGTATGGCCCTGAGGCAGAGAAAGCTTGGGCAATTCCACCACTGCTAGCCCTTTAGGCAACAACTGAAGCCCCCAGTATTCATCCATCATTGGCAAGAGATGGCATGAATGTTAGGGGGACCCAGGGGATTTGACCAAAAATGTGAGATTCCAGTTAAGGACCTTGCAGAATACAGTGGCCAGCGCCTTTGCCTGCAATCAGTTTTTCATTTTGCCTTTGGGAATCACTGAATGTTGGGATAAATTAACAGGCACTTTGTTTTTTCATTTTCTAAAAGCAGAACAAAGAAATGAAAGAGAGGAAATCAAGATGAATGTTTACTATGTTAATGCATATTACTACAGATCTGCTCTTTCAAATTTCAACACAACAGACTAAACCACCCAGAGTTGCTTTGTGAGATGGGCAGCTATATAAATGTGATGTATAAATAAATAAAAATAAACCACATTTTAGCAAACCAGGTTGTTTTTCTTAGCTCTTGTCCCACATGGTTGCAGAATTTACTTGTGTTTGTATTACATTTGTATAGTTCTTATAGCAAAGCTATCAATGAGTGATACAATTGGGGGGGGGGTGTTTATCAGCCAGCTTGTTGCAGATCTGATGCTGATTAGGACTGAGAGGGAGTGACTGGCCCCAAGGTCACACAGCTGCCTCCATGCTTAAGGAAGGACTAGAACCTGCATCTCATTTGTAATCCAGTACCTTAACTACTATACCATGCTGTCTCTCATCTTTAGCAGGCTGAGTGACACTTGGACAACAGGAGTTCAATGCATTGTTTGCATTATGATGGACACCATTAGTGAAAACCACTGGACCACACCTGACTGCTTTTAATTTTAGCCAAATCCTACTAGCCAAGAAGCTAACCCACTGTAAAATAGGATATGGGACAACTGGGTTTTTTTAGCCAACTTCTCCCTGGTCTTTTTTTCTGGTGGCCATCGACTGAACAACCTAATCTCTTGCAGGTTTACTCAAAATGAAGTCCTGCTGGATTCTGTATTGTTTACAGGTTGAAAGCAAGAGGACTGCAGCCTTCAATATTTGCTTGGGTGTCTTGACTCACTCCATCTTCTTTCAGTTCAGAAGTATTAAACATGTTGTTATTTGTACCTGTCCTTCAGGCAGTGTCTGCTCAAACCCCAAGGTGACTTTTCCTTGTCTCTTGGCCAAGACTAAATAGGATGACTCTTAATCCAAACAACTTGGTTCTTTGTGATGGGCCAAATAGCCTTTCTACTCATTAAGCAGACTTAATATTCCTTGTGAAATATTGTTTCCTGGAGGAGCTGAAATAGCCTTGGATGTTGCACATTGCTGAGTATGTGTTACTGGGAATAGCTTATCTACTCTTAATGTGTACCTGAAAAGGATGCTCAGGGTTTAAAGGAATAAAGAAGCACAGCCAGCTTGTTTTCAGAGTACTTTTTTTTTTTTTGGAAACAGCTAGTTTTTTTCTACCAGTTCCCATAGTTTCCACTTCTAAATTTGTTAATACCATCTGGCACAGATTTCAGTCATGCCCTCAACATAGCCTATAGAAAGGGTAAGACTAGAGGACTCCTTATCAGATGTCTCTTCAAACCTGGAATCAGACTTACACCTAGAACAGCATTATCAGTAGAGGCTGAGTCACTCAGTGGTGACGCAATTTCGTAGGTAGAGGTTCTTAGCTTTCACCATAACAAGGAAGAATATCTATTTGTGTTAGGGGAGAAAGCATACCACCCCAGTGTCAAAGAAAGAGGTTTAGAATGTGGTTTGTTCTTCCTTTTGCTTTAAATTGCCTTCCTTCTAATTATCTGATAAAGCTTAATGGGAGTTACTGAGTGCTCATCCACCGCGTAATCCCTTTCATGGACCTTCATTTATTTATTACAAATGTTTGTATGCTGCCTACTCATAGAATGATATGACTCTTTATTAAAGACACTTTACATACTAAAGATAATATCAAAGAATTGGCCATGTAGTTTTTAGAAATAATTTCTGTAGCCCTTCTTAGTTTACAGCAGTGTTTCTCAACCTTAGCAACTTTAAGATATGTGGACTCCG